ATCCATCAAGAAAAGAAAATAAATCAGGAGAAATCAGAGAAATTTAAGTGAATGTGTCATAAAAGGTGATATATTCCTAATGTCAGTCACCTAAAAAAGGGATTGAAAAGCTTAAAAATAATTATTGATCAACTAAATTCCCCTTCCCAACCAACCACCATCCACTCAAACTATAAGATGACTCCAGTTATACAATAACCTCAAAATTGGAACTTGCCACCTTGATGAGTGGAAATTAAATCCTCAAAAATCGATAGGTTTCTTGTTTACCAACGACACCATTAATTTGCGATAAGCTAACCTTTTACGTCCTTTCTCAGGCAACATGAACATCTATTAAAAATTAAGGTATAAATCATCTTAACTCCAACAAGGTTGAATTTGAGTTTCAGGACCCAAAGACAAAAGACTAACAAAGAAGAAGATGATTGAATAGGATTTTAGAGCCATTCGTCAATCCCCAAGACCAGAACACCTCCTTTATTATTACCCGAAAAGATAAAATATTTCATAAAATATCATCAATTTCACCAACAAATTATAACCTTCCAATTATATGAACTACCAGCTACATAATATTGAGCATTCTGGTTCCAATGACATTCTTGCATAGCTTATATTTTCTCTGTAGAGTGTCAACCAATAGACAAGTTAGAAATGTGTCCATGTCTTAGTTTTAAAGGGCATAAGGCACACTAAGGCGCAAAAAGTCCTTGGAGCCTAGGCGCAAGGCGAAGGCGCGCGCCTTTTGTAGGTGAGGCGCACTTTATTCATATAGAAAAGAAATAATAATTTCTATTAAATAAGTGTAAAAATGAAATTATGAGAAAAGGTGAAAGGGCCATATGATCAATAACAAGAGGTCTTCAAATTGAATTATAGGATATGGGATTTCTCTCCACTAGAATTGAAGAAAACCTGCCCATAACAAAGTCTCATGATATACTTTAGGAAAAATAAACTTACACGCTATTGATGCTTTAAAACAAAAGGCGCAAAATAAGGCGCAAAGGCGCAAGAAGCAGCCTAGAAAAAAGCGCAAAGGCGCACGCCTTTTGTAGGTCTTTGAGCCTCAAAGAGCTAAGGCGCCAACTCTCGAGCCTCACTGTGCCTTGCGCCTAGGCGCGCCTAAGGCACGCTTTTTAAAACTAAGGTCCATGTTCCTCTCATATATCCACCTAAAAGAAACTTTAATCTCAGGACAAACTTGTTTTGCGTAGCAATTTAAAATCTGACCACGTTCTGATATCACCAAAATTACCACCTCCTTGAACATACAGATCCTAATCACCATGTTAGCACTCCTCATCATATTGTTACATATACAATGTGCATGCTTAGAATCTCTCCCTCCTTGCCTCTTGATAACTAACCTTCATATCTCCAAATTGAACTACGGTATATCCTAGTACCTGAAGTGGTAATATTAACCCAAAAAACAATAAATCATGATGTAGTCAAGGTTCATTACTAAGCGATGATGTCATAGTGTCATATATTGATTCACCATAAATCACGTTTCACAACTATGTTACTCGGAATCTTCATCGACATTTGGACATGGGTAGGACACTTAAACACTTCAATTAATTCAAAATCATGGAAAATTTTCATAAAATAACCAAGTCGGACACTTGGACGGACATGGGTACCTGAGTCCAAGTAATATAGACAAAGCACAGAAAGCTTAATGATCTCCATCCATATTTAGCAAGCACTATACCCCAAGATCAGGTTCGATCAACGATCTCCTAAAGACAATTAAACACATACAAAGTCCAAAATCAACACCAAAATGGGAGAGTAAATGATCACCTACCCATGTGTTAATAAAGATATCAAGGAGAAGAAATGACCAAAAGAGTATTAAAAATATTCCTAAAAACATTAGAAAACCACCAGAGTGATTAAAAACTGTTTTTGCATCTATCCTTTAGGAAGGAAAGAAAATACTAATAGAACTCAGATTATGAAGTCAATGACTATCCATCAAGCACCTCTATTCCTCTTTGCTATGTGCCATTGTTTAGGTTTACTTTTTTGGAGAAAACTTCCCTCAATCTTACATCAAACAATTCATTTAATATAGGAAACTACAGTTACAATCTTACAAACTTAAAGGTTACAAGCTTCAACTCCCAATACCACGAGACTTTAGCTTCCTTAAAGCATCCTGATGCTAATTTAGATAGAATTAGATGTTCTCTATAAATACCATTTGCAGACCAAAGCACTATAGCATTTAATGATTTAGTCCAACATATCATGGAGTTTGCAACTCAACACAAGAATAAACTTTCGTATCCAAAAGAGAATAAAAGAGATAGATGAAATCAATGCACATCATCCGAATCCATATAAATTTAATTCAACAACAACACATCTGAAGGGTATACTTCACCTAACACTACGACAGCACTCATCAATTTTCAGGAATTATGGGGTCAAAATGTCAAATCCTTATTCCCCTCCCTTGGGGTCTAGATTTTCTTGAGAAAAAAGACCAAGTAATATACACCACAGATAAGATAATACTATATATGACCACTCAAGACAGCTATATCTACAGGCCAACAGCCGTAGTTTAAGAAACGCATTGTAAGTAGCATTTCCAATCCTGTGTAACCATCAAAATGCCCATTATCAAATGTTTTGTTCCAAAGAGGACCCAAAGAGTATAACTGTATAAGACTAATCTGCCCTTGATAAATCAATATACGTAAACTTACATTAAAAAATCAAACTCTAACTAAAATCATAATCACTGCACTATCCTCTACTTCTCATATGTAATTATCTACAATCCTTTCTTGTACACTATACTGAAATAATGCAAAACACTACCATTTCACCTTACCTAATCGGCTAATCATCATCCTCTCCAAACAACAATTACCACACAATCACATATTCACACATATACACCTCCACATAAATAAGAGCAAAAAGATTTACCATCGTAATAGCTAAAACACATAGGAATCAGTCACATAACAAAACATACATTGGTGATCAAAGTCACACATAATCGAGCAAGCACCAAATTCCAATAGATAAATACAATACTCCACATATAATACATAATTAAGCCACCCGCAGCGAATTCAACAATTATCCGAATCGAAAATCTCAAATTTCACAATTTATAACATCACAAAGGGTCGCTCATCAGTCAAACTATACAACATTATAAGTAAAACCTTAACATTTTACCTTACACATCAGCCTCTAGCCTTAAGCTCCGCAAGCCTCCTTGTAAGATCATCCTCATCGACCTTCTCCGACGCCTTAGGATCAGCAATAGCATGTCCAGCAGCCTGAGGCAACCCCACAGAAACCTCAAGACCATAATCATCCGCCACCTGCTGCATCAAACTATTAACCTCGGTTTCGGGTGTCGAAAGCGAAGTACTCCCAGCCATTGAACTCTCCATAAACTCAGCCTGAACCTCCATATTCACAAATTGCTTCTCGAATTGGTCCATTGTTTCCGACATCTTCTGCAAATTACCCGTATTCAAGGACGATTCAAGAGATTTCACAATTGATCCCATGTTCTTCCCAATCATCTGCATCTTCGCCTGTGTATCAAGGCGAGCAACAACGGCATCAAGGCGAGACGATAATCGAAGGTAGTTCATCTGTTCTGTGCGCTTGCGAATGGCGTTTTCGGCGTAAATTCGAGCTCCATCAAGGTTACCTTTCTCGATTGCTTTCTTGACTTTGAGTTTCTCGGATTTCTCGTCTTTCTCGCACTTTCGAGCTTGACGTTGGAGTGATTTGGAGGTGAATTTGAGCTCCATGATCTGGTTCATCAGCTTCTCAGTGTTTCCCATGTTGAAGAAAGAGAAAATTTTGGCGATGATCGGAAATTAGGGTTAGGGTTTTGAGGAAGATGAAGTCTGATTTGCAGAGAGAATTGGGGACGAAGACGAATCGAAAAGTAAGAAAGCGTGGTCAGTCAAAGTCTCAAAGATTAGATATTTTTGCGCTTGCACAAGGAATCTCAGGAAATTACCAAAACGAGAACTTGTGTAGGGAATAAACCGATAAGGCAAGGGTTCGCTTTTATCTTGTTCCAAATCTCGAGTTGGTTTTAAGTCGGGTCATATCGGGTCTGGGTCATCAATTTTTCGGATTTAAACAGGTCAAATTATGATCAATTTCTGATAAAAATTTCGAGTCAGGTCAGCTTTTGACAACTCTATACATTGGCATATGTGCATAAGAGAAATGTTTATTTTATTTAAATAAGGAATAAGTAGTGACTAATAGTTCATCAAGTGTGATTTGAATGCGACTGGCCACATTATGTGGCCGCTTGTAAAAGACCAAAATAACCTCTATAACAATGATCGAGTAACCCCCTATAACATTGACGAAATAACCCCTATAAAACTGATCGAGTAACCCCCTATAACATTGACGAAATAACCCCTATAAAACTGATCGAGTAACCCCTATAACTCTAACAAAGTAACTGCCATGACAGTTGGGGAAAATCAAGTTCTTCCCATTTGCTACACCGCAATTGAGACATGTACTTCAATCAAAATCATGTACACAACATGGTACGAGTACCACTTTCTATTACTCGTATGAATTACTTGCGCGAAACACAATAATGATGTTAAGTTATGAAGTATCTGCACAATACACAATAATGATGTTAAATTAATTTTGATATTGATCGAATATTATTGGAAAATCCAGTTGTTGAAGCTAAATCAACTTGATGCAATTACATATCTTCATTATTCATCTGTACTAGTGAATTTCCATGGTTGTAAGACTTGTAACTCTTGACCTCTTGTAAGCATTGAATGACAATCCCGTATCAAGTTAAAGCAACTGGTAAAAACGGGAATTTGCAATTGGGCTCAGGAAGCCCACTAATGACTGCTTGATATGATCATATAATGGCTTAGACTGTAGCTGTAGTAGCGGAAAGGCACTGTTCTTTTTGGGCTAAACTGAAATAATCGCATACTCTAATCAAACGTCAGGGAGAAGAAGAGGCCCAAGTTTAGGGGTTTTTTTTTTTCCATCTTAATCGACAGACAGACCAACTCAATTACTATATCCGAAGTTACTTTAACTGAACTGCTATTCGTCATTCGCAAATTACTGGGTGACGTTCACATTTTTAATTGAAATGACATTTTTGCCCTTGTGAGTATTTTATCTATTTAAGGGTCCACCATGGGTAAATTTAGTTACCGACAACATTAAAAACATTACCGAGCCCACCACTTGTGTTAAAAAAATCCCGAGCATTAAAAAATCCCGGTTCCACCATTGTACGGTAATCCCGAGGAATTTAAAAATCCCGGGCCAGAAAAGGAAAGTGTACGGAGTGATGTTTTACGATGGACGACGACAACGTTCACACGCCGGAGGGTTCGACGGAAGAATCTGTAAGTATTTCAGAATTATTTTTTTTTTGTAAATAGGACATCCGCTTGTTTTTTCCGGAAATTTGGGGGAGATCCGCCCAAAATTTCCGGATGTCCCCAATAACATCCGGAAATTTCAGGCGGATGTACACATCCGGATGAAATTTCCGGATGTAATTGGGGACATCCGGAAATTTTGGGCGGATCTCCCCCAGATTTCCGGAAAAAACAAGCGGATGTCCTTTTTTTTGTTTTTTTTTACGTAATTGTTATTGTTATTATTATTATTATTATTATTATTATTATTATTATTATTATTATTATGGTTATTAATATTAGTTTTGTTAATTTTGTAAATTTCTGTTATGATTATGATTATTATTAATATTATTACTACTATTATATTAGTTATTATTTGTTAATGTTACATAGTTATTGTTGTTATTATTATTGTTATTGCTATTATTATTATCATTAGTATTATTATTGTTATTGTTATTATTATTATTATTATTACTATTAATACTATTAATATTATTATTGTTATTATTGTTATTTTTATTATTATTATGATTATTTGTATTATTATTGTTATTATTATTGTTAAATTTAAAATAGTAATCCTTGCGTGTTTTATTTGTTTGTATTGTTATTTTGATAGGATTCGGAGGTTGAAGACGACGGTGACGTTGTGAATTACAGTGCACATTTTGTGACAGACACGGTTTTTCTAACGTTTGACGATGCAGTTACATGGGCGGATGCTGTTGCAATAAATCTGGGATTTATTTTGGTGAAATCGTCTTTCAACAAACAGAGGGATGGTCGACCAGTTCGATATTTAAGATGTGACCGGGGACACATGAGTAAGCCGAGAGATCTTGAGAACGCAATTCGGAAGGACACCAAAACCAAGGGCATTGGTTGTCCTTTCTACATCAAGATATGTTACGAGTTCGTCACCAATACTTGGTTTATCCGGGCGAAAGATGATGTAACTGGGACCCACAACCATCCAATGATTGCGTATCCAGAGGGTCATCGTAAAATTAGTGGGTTGAGCCCGAATGCGAAGCAGGTTGTGCGTGACATGACGAAGTCTAAGGTTGCACCGCGTAACATCATGGCGACTATTGCGGAGCAATTTCCTGATGATCATCCCAGGCGCTCCATGCTCTTGTTAGGGCACCCCGATCCAACATCCCAGGCGGACGCACGAGGAATAGCAAGCTCTCTGGTCAAGGTCCCCTGCTGAGGCCGGAAACACGGAAAGTACTCGTAGATCCACGTCTGTAGAAGCGTAAGGCAGCCAGCGATAGAATCAGCATCTCTTCGTGATGCTGTACCCAATTGCCGGTACATGTATGCTAGCACAGCAGAACCCTAGGAGTACTCACTAATCTGAACATCCTCAACAAATAGCTCGTTGAGGAAGGAAGGATGAGTACGGTTTCCACTCTTGTCCAAAAACAAACAACCGCCGAGTATTAACCACAGGTACGCCCTGTAATGGAAACTGAAGGGCCTCTGCGCCTCCAAGGTCGACTCCACTATCCTCTCAGTCGGGACCCCACTACCCTGCCATACGGTTTTGGTACCGCACTTCTCATTCAGCTCTTCCTCAGTCATATCCAAGGTAACCGAGCACGCGTCCCGTAAAACGTTCGTGTTAGGAGTAGTGGAAACCGTGGAACCGTCGACACGAAGCCCTAGAATATGATACACATCATGCAGCATGATCGTGATCTCCCCAAAAGGCATGTGAAACGTGTTCGTGTCTGGCTGCCATCTCTCAATAAAAGCAGAAATTAAGGGCCAGTCAAATCGCCGGAACATGATCCCGGGTAAATGAGATAGACCAGTGCCATCGATCGGTTCCAGGTGCTTCGGCGGAAGACGAGCGCGCCAGTTACCCAATTCAGAACACAATTGTGTCCTGCTCAAACACCGCAGCACGTTTCGCTCCTGCCCACCCCATATGTAGGCAGACACGTGACCCCCAAAACTCGGAATAACGGTACCATCCTCAGGCCCACCTGGCATCGGCTCTTGCACCACCCATGACTCTGACGAGCTGGTAGAAGCTTGACCTGGTTCACTACTGCTAACATATCTCCCATGGTCACCCCTATACACAGTACGGTAATCCTGAGGGTCGTACTGTGCATCTCCAGCAGATTGACTTCCTCGATCTTCATCCTTATCCTCATCTGATGAAGGCACTCCAGTAGACGAATACATGGGGGCGCTCCCCTGTGACTGGTGCTCCCCCGACCAAGCACCAACAGTCCCATACTGCTGCTCATGCTGAAACGGTGCATGTGAAGGTCCTGCACCACCTAACTCCCTCCTAACAGACGCATTCAAACGTCTTGATCTTGCATGACGAGGACCAGAACCCTCAATCTGCATTAAAAAAATAAGTACAGAATCATATTTCAATAATAATTCATAGTCAAAAAAATCAAATCAAAACTATAATAAATCAAATCAAATATACAATAATAACAGCATTACAAATAATAACAATAATATTATTCTTACAATACTAATACACTACTAACAATAACAACACACTAACACACTACAAATAATTTTTTCAACACAATAACAGACCAAATCAAAACTATAATTAACCACAAAACTGCCAAAATTTAAACGCAACAACGACAATCCAATAAAAAAAAAGAATTACAATAACAATAACAACAATTTAAGTAAACAACCATAATACATAACAACAACAGCAGCAAAAACCAATACAAACCAAACCAAATTTACATAACAATAACAATACATAGCAACAACAAACTTACTTTAATGCTAAACTATAATTATTGTAAAACTATAATTATTGTAAAACTAAATCAACAAAAATTACATATCAATAACTATTGCAAAACTAAATCAAGAAAAAAATTATTTTAATGCCACAAATGAAGGACACAAATTACTTCAAAAAAAAAAAAATGAAGGACACAAATATTTTCAAATTAAAACATGAACCAAATCAACAAAATCGAGGACAAAAAAAAAAATAAGAAAAACATAAATTAAAAAACAAAGGAAAAACAGAAAACAAAAAAAAAGGTGGAAAAACAGAAAATCACAAAAACCAAAAAAAAAAGGGAAAAACAGAAAAGAAAAAAAGGGGGAATAACAGAAAAATAAAAAAAAATAAAAAAATTCTGGACAAGGGGACTTCCGCCCAGAAATTCCGGAAGTCCAGGGGAATTCGCAGGGGAAACTTCCGGAATTTCTGGGCGGAAGTCCCCTTGTTTAGAATTTTTTTTTTCAAAATTCAAAAATTTAAAACAAAAAAAAAAAATCACCGGCTCGCCGCCGCTAACGCCGCCACCACGACCACCAAATGTCAGCCTAATTCTCCGTCGGTCTGCCATTGTCGGATTCAACGTTTGATTGCAAGATTTGCTTGTGTTTGAGTAGCCTTCAACTATTTTGGTTTTTTTTTTTAAAAAAAAAATTCTGATTTTTTTTTTTTCAAAATTTCAGATTTTTTTGGAAGGTTTTAGAGAGAGAAAGTGTCAAAGAGTGATTTTGTGAGATGGGAAATGTCTCGTAAAGCCCTTACTTACTTTATCGAGTATTTATATACGGAGGGCAATTTAGGAAATTCATGTAAAAAATGTGAACGTCACCTAGTAAAATGCGAACGACGTTTAACAACACCCTATTTTAATCGTAACCTTTGAAGTTTTATGTTTTTTTTTATGTTTTTATTTAGAGTTACAACGGTGGAAAATGTGAATCTCCTGCAATTAGAAGGAAAGTTTTAACCACCTAAGCAAAAACAAAAACAAAAAAAAAAGTAATATATTAAAAATTATATCCAAACAAAGCTAGCAAGACCTACATGATTTTTTAATTTTTATTTGAATATATATATATATATATATATATATATATATATATATATATATATTTATTGAACGCTTGAGCTTATTTAATTTTGTTTTGAACTTATTTTGTTTGAATTTACTGAACTTATTATATACTTATTTTATGTGAAATTATTTATTTTAATATTATTTGTTTGAACTTATCATAATTCATTTTATTTTTTTTATAAAATAAGTTATACTACTAAGATGGAATAGACATATTCTCTAAACATTAGTTAAATAAGATAAAACGAAAATCATGATCAAAGTGAAACACGTAATTAATTTTTTTGCATTTAACTTGAAACAACAAGAGTATATAACTAACATAATGACATAGTGATATAGTCCAAATATAGAATATCATTTATATAGTCCATGTCATGCATGTAACATGTTCGGTAATTGGTAGTTTGGTCGATATTATGAAGAGCAACAATAGTTGGCTTCAAAAAAAAAAAAAAAAAAAAAAATGAAGAGCAACAACAGTAACGTATGCCTGGTTTAAAGTTTAAACCCTAAACGAATCAAGAGACGTATAAAAACAAGGGGCCGGGCCGGGTGGTCGGTTCTTGGATCAATTATTAGGATCATACACCCACACCCACACCCAAATCTAGTTGCATCATATTATGCATGCATCATCATTTTATTCATATATGCATGTATTTTACTGTACTATTGCATTTAATTTCATATGCAGACTATATGGCATTACATACATTCACCAAAACATGCAAACCCCCAAAATGATATTATTGATCCCTTTTTTTTTTTTGAAAATAGTAAATCTTCATGCTTGTAGTCAGGGAGCATATAAGGGAGCATATAGTCAAATTTCTTCGAAAATTTGGATATTTCTGACCCTTTTCCTTTAGTTTCTTTATATTTTTTTTTATTATTGAGTTCAATAAATCTACACTCTTTGAAGGTAGTAAGTACCCCTATAGTGGGTTTGAGTGTAGAAAGTGCCCCTTTGGTGGGCTTTGTTCTAGTTTTATTTTTGTTTTTTGAATTTAGTATGGTACAAGTTGTTTCATGGGTAAAGATTTGAGCGGGATTGAAAAAGAGGTTAATCCTTCGTTACAATCAGATGAATCAGACGAAAATTTTCTTCACGACTACAATAGATCGATAGACCCCCTCGTCGAAAAAGGCTGTAAATCACAGTGATATAAAAGAGGGTATGAAAAATGTACGATTTGCAGTAGCGATTGTAGCTCTGAAAGGAAGCTTTTATTTGATTCAATTGTCATGTATTTATTAAATTTAAATCTCTTTTTAGATGCCATATGACTTTTTATTTATGAATCAATCTTTTTTTTTTTTTAAAAAAAAAAAAAGTCAGGGAGCATATAATAATAACAATTTTTTTTTAAATAGTTTTGTAATAATAAGGCGTGTTCACTTCACTTTAAAATAATAATATTTCGTAAAAATAATTTCAACTTAAGAAAAATAATTTCAATTAAGTACCTAATAAGGAAAGTACGAAATCAATCAAAATATGTAGCAATTTTCTCAAAACATATATATATATATATATATATATATATATATATATATATATATATATATATATAGTTGAAGAAATAAATACCTTTATTTTATCTTCATGGGAAAACTTTAATAATTTTGATACAGAAAATTTTCAATTATATACGCAGAAAATGTAATCAAGTCAGTCATATGTGATGTTAATTTATTATATATTTTTTTTATAATATTTGTTAATATGTTATCAAAGATATTAATAAAAGTACATTTTAAAGACCATATATAAATAAACACTAACACTAGAAAAAGCAAGGGCTGCCCTATATGCAGTATATAATAATATATTGAGGTGGATGGAGTATTATATATAGATGCTTTGGTAATGTTGATCAACTACAAACATTTAGTAACGATAACTAACTAGGTTTTGATGCCAATATATCCTAACATACAGAAGGGAGATTTGATGAGTAACTTAATTAGCTTTAAAATCAAGTAGTTTTTTGTTTAGCATTAAGGGTAATATTTTATGACATCAAGTTCTGGATGGGATCGTCCCGCTTGATATATTTTGGGGCTGAAAGTTTCTTTACTTTTAATTCTCCACCCCTAAAAAGGATCTTATTTTGCCCTATAAATCGAGCAAGTTTGTCATGTGCAACAGTGCAAGATACCAATCTGATAAGACAATTTCTCTTTATATTATCTCATATACGTACAAAATCTCTTAGCATATGTGGTATGTACATTATTGTACATTTGTACATGATTATCATAACATGGAAGCAGGAAAATGGTGGACCAAGTAATGGCCGAACTGTTTTACAGTAGAGAAAGAAAGGGGAAAAAAAAAAGAAAAAAAAAAGAAAAGATAGTTTTAGGTTTTAAGCAAAATATACTCCGTATGTGGTGTTGGGTAGTTTGAACTTTGAAGAATGATGATTGAAGCAGCATTAGCAGAAAGAGGGGCCAAAGAAGAAAGGAGGCGCACGTGGGCATGACAACAACGCTATCTATTTTGACTAGTCACTTTTTTGTCGCCACTCACTCAATCACACTACTATAGGCTATACGCCTATACTAGATAATAATCTAATTTGGATGGACCAATTATTCAATTACAAGTATGTTGTTGTCTTTCTTTTCTTCTTCATCCTTTCTTTTTTCACAAGGACTTCTTCTACATGTGAGAATGTATGAGACATTATCATCATGTTTTTTTGTGTGTGTTACATCAATTATCTTATTGAATCTCTTAGCTTTATGCTTATCCATATGTATTATATTAATCAATGTAACTTAAATAAGATTTTTTTTCTTCTTTTTTAACACTTCTCAATAAATACTTGATTAATATCTAGTCTAATTTGATCTCGTATCATTCTGATTTGATTTAGTTTGATATATTGGTCTAAGTAAATGTTGATCGTAATTAATTTCCACTAAAGTATAGAAAACTACCATTTTTTTAATGGGATATAATTGTTAGATTTGTCTCATTATATACTATTTAATATGTAATTTAATTTCATATATTTTTATTATGCATTGGTTACTACAAAATTAAAGGTGTTAATTAATAAGTAAACAAAATGTAAAATGATTTCATCTGATTAGAATATTTGGGTTTGATCTACTTTATATTTGTAGTTAGTAATTTAGTGTATGTAAGTTTATGAAATAAAAAGATAAAAATCAGGTTTCTAAGAGGTTCAAATCAATATAATTGCGGCACATCCAAACGTGAATATTTTTTGTTTAGTTTGCTCAACTTTACTTTTTAAAAGTTAAATCTAAAGTCATGTCTACATCTAGGGCACCTTTATGTTTCCTCATACATCAATTATAACAGGAGTGATATTATGATTAGCATTTACTTAAAAACTTAGGGTTTTTACAAGGCTTTGTTTTCATCAATCAAATTCTACTATTTCAACTAATCTAGCTACTAAATAATTTGGATGAAATAAACTTTACTTTTGATAAATGTAACATACTTTTATTGAAAAAAACTTACTTTCAATGAACATAACTTAAACTCATTACAAATAATGATGAAACCGTAAATTTTATATATATTTCGTAAAGCTACCTAAGGATTTTACTTAATTATTCAAAGATCGATCTATACAACTTTAAGATCATGATCCTCCATGCCAAACAAATTAAAAGAAAAGTATGATACACAATATTTTTTGAAATAATTTTCTGCAAAATAATAACTCAAATATTGACTTTCACAAGCAAAAGAAGCCAAACCATGTGAAATTGGAAAAAAATTCCACATAACATTTAAGTTATGGAGGGGCCAAAACTAACAGTAAACAAGCAGAGTGGGTTTACCTACAATTGTCAAGCTATTTGTTCCAAAGAACGAATGCGCACGTGTGAGTGGGTTGTATCCCATATAAATTGGGAAAGACCTACCCTTAAATATAGAGGTCTATAAAGATCCAAGTCCCACAAAAAATAATGAAAACAAACAAACATTAATTATTGTAATTAGGGACCTTCTTATTAACTACTCGTAAAATTAGATAATTTATGGATTACTTGTTTTAGAAATTATCGGTCAGCATGTGTTCATTTGTAAATTACTTTAAAATGTTGTGCAAATACTATAGGTAGACCTATATATAAATAGATTCAATTTTGTTTTAATTAGCTTATTATGAAGACTCACTCTTCTAATAAATTGTGGCATAACTAAGTAACATAATAAGACATACAATTCAGGACAAAAAAAAAAAAAAAAAAAAAAACCCTAGTTTACAAAAAATGGTAAAAGAGAAGAATTAAATAATTTAAGTTTTCTGATGATAAGTATCTTACACACATGTATATACACATTGTAGCATGTAAAATATAAAAAAAAAATTTATAAAAATATGACTAATTACATGCATGTTAGATCTTAATCGGAGCTTCTTTTATTTCTTTTCTTCAAATCAAGCTTGTAACATGTTTAAGCTACATTTTATTGCAAGCTACAATATCACTTTTGTCTCCAATATAATTCTTGGAGATGCTCTGATAAGATAAAATCGTCCAAACTCATGTTTAAAAAAATAAAACAAATTAAATTACTACCCAAGATATAGTAAAAGCTAAACCTTTAGCTTTATTTTTCTGCTGCATGCCTTGTATCACTGTATGTGTACCTAGATTGCAAAGAGAATATGTCCTCCACTAAGGGCACCATATAAGTACGCTATTCCTTATGAGTTATGATCAGTTCACTTTGATAGTATTCCTTATTTTGATAGAATTAAAAACATGTCAAAATAATTAATTTTGAAATTTCTAGCCAAAATATTTACTACTGTACTATATATATGACAAATTATTGGGCTACTAACTACGTTGGTTGAATTAATAATGGTTTTCCTATAAACTTTATTTTTTCAACTGCAAATTTTAATTTGATTTGACAATGTATTTAATTTTGTTTAACCAATTAAAAAAGAAAAAAGAAAAAGGTGTTTATTATATTTATGAATACGGAGTACTGAATTATTGATGTTTTTACCTTGTGTTATTGATTTATTGGTCACAATGTTACATACTTACAATGGTTATATTAATTTTAATTTCATGAGCAAATTTAGGGTAAAAACATCTCACACGCACCACGCACCAAAATTTTCATATATGTAAATTGTTTTTTATTGTGATTTTTGAAATAGTAATATGATTACATATCAATTTTAAAAGTTTAGCCAAAGAAATAATGATGTACAAAAATACATAACACTTTATTATAATCAATCTTTGGAGTTGAATTGGTAAGTGGTAACCCCTACAATTATTTGTGATGTTAGCTTAAGTAATGTAGAGTGAATAATGGCTTCACATAGCTCCAAAGGACATTCTTAATTAATATATACGAAGTATGATTCATGAAGTATTGCGTAGTACTACGTAAGTACAAATGAATGTATGATGTATACTCCATTCTAAGCAATCATCTTCATTTATCCAATCAAACCATAGATGGGCTACGCGATTTCCTCATTTAAATTAAGATAAGTTATCTTCAATTAATTAAGGCGGATTAGTCATGTTAATTAATTGAATTAGAATAATATGCATGATTGATGTGATTGCGACTTTTAAGCTAAGCGAAGTGAAGAAAAACATTAGACAATACTACTCATGAATTGCAAATTTATATTACTGTAGTTTAGTTTAATTAATAATGATTATATAATACTCTCTATGTTCCTTAATATAGTTTTTATTTTCCTATTTTTGAGACCCAAAATGTTGTTCCTGTTTCTATTTTTGGATAGTATGTAAAGACCATTATACCCTTATTTTTGTAACTTTATTCATTGTATTTCTTAAATTACTCTTGAATTTTGCACATGCTTTGTACTTTTTTCCACTTGATCTCTCTAACTTTTGTCTATAATTTTACTTTTTACTTTTATTAATGTACTTCATCTACTTTCTCCTCCTATTTCTTAAATACCGTGAAAAAACACAAACATAAACTATATATTGGGACGAAGGGAGTATATAAATAACTAAATTTCAGTCCAACATATTCTTTCAACCCATGAAAAATCTCAGTCCAACATAGATGATGAAGGCTACTTTAATTCTAAATAAAATTCATTGAAAGCCAATATACAGAAATCAGTAAGAATAATTATTATAGTGATATTACGCATCATTATTTTTCAAAGAGTGATATTATTAATACGTGATATTAAAAAGCATTGTAATACCAAATACCAAACTTTTTTTTTAAGGTGATCAGTCAACTATGTAAGGTTTAATGTATGACAACACTACAAGAAAGCCATAAATAGCCAAACGACTACTTATCCTAAAATTCACCAAGGACGGTGCCCAATAATTGAGAAGCTTATCTCATCTGCACCATATATGTCTCTGAGTTATTATAGTCGATTACAAAACTAATTATCGGTTAATTATATATACATACAAAGAAAAGTTAGTTAAGGTAGATACTTAACATATATACGTAGTAGTTAACAAACATGTAATCTACTCATGCATTACGTTTAACACCTAATAAAGTAATTAGAAATGTTATATTTTCTCTCTCCTCTAATCCAATATTAGTATATAGTACGTATGAGTGCTTTTTTTTCAATACTGACAAAAAACTGAGGTATCGAACAAAATAAATGGAGTACTAAACATTTTTATTTTAAGAAATAATTTATGGCATAGGTCATATTGAGATGAGAAAGGAAAAATATCTAGATTTACGCAGTATATGAGAGTTTAACATGAGTTGTTTAATTGACGAAACCATATAAATTACAACTATTATAGAAAGATTATCATCATGTAAGATAACTCAAGTGGTTAGAGCTCTCCTCCCGTATTTCAAGAGATGTTGAGATCGATTCTCATCAGTTGCCCTCGTGGCTCTCTAACACCAAAAAAATATATATCACGTAATAGAATAAATATAACAAGTCAAATTCTATCTCCTAAATGAACAATTACAAACTTTCTTATAAGTACTACTTTCGTTTAGATATTATCTTATTTCTCATATATATGCTCTTAAGAGTTGTATTTAGTTGGTAGATAGTTTTGTTCTTTACCACCTGTATATATAGGGTATAAAAATAAAGTCATTAAAGATTATGAGAATTAAGTTTGACTAAAGGAAATCGATTAAACTTTGAGAGCCAAATCAAAATAGAAAAATTGAGCAATCTCTTAGAAACAAACCAAAATAAAGATGATATCATGTTTTAGGAACAAAGTGAATCCATTTTTTCATTTAATCATTCAACCAAGCAAATACTTGATTATGACATAACGCCGTATTATCACCATGCAAAATGAGGTCAATATCCATTACTTTCAACTTTTCAAGTATCATTCGATACATCATAAATGTACTTGGCCCTTATTATTAGTTTCAGTATTCCGACTTATATATTTTGCTCGTAATTATTGTGAATCCGACTCATATATTCGTTAAAACCTTTTAACACCTTTAACGTGAAGATCATTTCCTCCACAGATGGGACCATTTATTGCGATTTCCATCTTTATTTTCCAATTGCCAAAACTAAAAATTTAAACATAAGAAATACAGGATAAAAGACGTATTACCTGTCTGCTTGCCAATCCCAAGACTATAAGCCACGAGCATGAATTACATAAATCACATAATGAACCCATCATCATAGTAACAGTGAGCACGAGATTTACATAATGATACTCTTTTTTTCTAGCTATGATTGCCATGAAATTTTGGAATAATAATCACACTAACTTGAATCACAAACAGTCTGACGTACAACTCAACTCATACGTATGCATTCTATTATGTACACTCAAATGTACAATAGAATTTGTACATGAGTTTATACCTAATATCGTGGCAAAACTGAAGTGTTATGAACACATACAATTTTAGGTATATCCGGTGGTATAACAGATTCTGTATAAGAGTATAGAGCTGAGATCGTAGTTAAGGAAAACTGAAGTGTGACATGAGCACAATTTTAGATACACTCGGATGTGTATGTATACTTATAATAAAATAGTGGAGAAATGAAGTGTTCCAAAGCAGAAATTAGCCATTGTTACTGAGATATTCAATCATTTACAAGGAACAAAAAAGAGACAAAGGAGCTAATGATAATTTAGCAACCTTTCCTAAAAATGTAGCAGAATCACTCTTTCCATATATACAATTGGAAATTCTAAATTAGAGAAGAATCACTCCCTAAAAATTAAGAAAAAAAGAAGAAAAAACAGAGGAAAACAGAGGAATTAATCATGAGAACAAAGGAGCATAACAATACATCTTCTGATAATATAAAGCCTTCCTCTTTGTTCACTCAAAAATCTTCCTAATTTTCTGCTTGAAATTCTTTTCTCAGAATCTTTCATCATTCTTGAATTACCCATAATAATATAATTTTGTTGTAAAGAGAGAAGAGACAGAGGAAAACAGAGTATGTAATATGAGAGAATTTGTTTGTAACTGTAGTTGGTTAGAAGTTTTGGAGAATGAAAGGAAAGAAGAAAAAGAAGGGTACTTATAGAAGAAGAGGAGAGAGAAAGTGGTCCAAATGACAAAATACCTAGGGCCCCTACCCCCTAAAAATGGAATCTCTTACCCTTAATTTTAAAGACCCCCCCTTCTCTCCTCTCCTTCCTTTTTTTTCTATCTCTCTGTCTTTCTGTCCCTGCCACATGAGAATTTTATGATTTTAATATTAGGGGTTCATTTCACCTTGACAAGCTTATATTTTCGTTGTTTCTTCAATATTATTATAATTATAACTTGCGGGCTTCTAAAAGTATAGTTTAATACTGTATAATGGTAAAAATTATAAAAGGTTAATACAATGAAAGTATAGGTTTATTGAAATGAATCTGATAAGATTTTTACATGACCTTATTTCTAAAGATAAGTGTGTTGGACGTTGTAATTTATAAAACTGGAGAAACTGTGTACTCGTGATAATTGAATTCTTTGTATTGAATATTGATTTTATTTCGTAGCTCTTGTATAAAATTGATGAAATTATATAATATTTTGTTGGTAAAGCGATGATTAATAATACTATAAATTTTTGGGAGCAATTAGATGGCTTTTGATCACAAGATCAACTATTTTTGGTACTGTGTTTGGAGAATAGATGATTTAAAGAAATTGTTGGAAATCAATAAGCTAAAACCCAACATAAGAGTTGTTTGAGCATTTATTGCAATAAGCTATTTTGGTGTTTGACAAAATACAAAGTATTTAGCTTTTGTCAATTCGTTGATTCAACCATCTATATCAACCAGCTATCGGTTAATTGCCAAATAGGCTTAAACCTCTTGGGTTGACTAGTGAGTAGTGACTACACATGTTAACATAAGTTTGTTGTATATAGTACAATTTTTATTCCTTTATTATTTACCTACAAAAATGTATATTATATTTTTTTCTTTCTATCTTATTAATTTAGGGTTGGGAAGGAGTTGAGAAATATTTAAAATGAAGAAACAGGGTACATTGTTTGCATGAAGAAGATAGTTTGATATTTCCTTATCAAGTCGTTTTATTTATTTTTTAAATTTACTTCACCTCGCAAAAACATCATGGGACCATCGTAAATGTGTAATGGACTAATGGACCAGTCAGTAAAATTATTAACCCTTATCACTAGGGGTGGTAAAAACATGTACTTTAGTCCTTCACATATATATAAAGGGGATATGAAGAGCTAAAATTTTGGTATTTACTCTTATCTTATACTAAAATATTTAATAGAGTAGTAAATAAATTATAATCTTATGTAATCACAGTACTTAAAGGTGAAATGATCATAAATATAATTTAACTATGTTAATTTTCATAGAAGATGACAAAAATAGTTTAATGCATACATCATAAGTACAATTCAAGCTTCGAAGAATCGAATATATGACTAATCGAATTTTCATATGGACGAAATTTAATCTTGGCTTCTCAAAACACATAATGCATTATTCACGTGTATATCAAGTATAATAGCATATGACATACAATAGCAGATTAACAGTTACGTTAACATAAGAAACAAGAGCTACAATATGAGACATAGTTATTATGTCCACACCTTTTGTTTTTAGTTTAAGAATGATGGTTCAATGAATAGTAACTAGTTTTAGGTACCAACATTACCTTATGAAGGCAAACCACCAAACTATTTCAACCTATCAAATTAAATGCATACAAAAGATATATTTGCATATGGATCATGGAATGGGCATATCCAAAACTTATTTTCTTAGGTTTTGGTCCCCAAAAAGCCTTGCTATGCTTGAGTCCAAAATTGACCTACTAACTTTATTAGATGGGTGATCCATGAATATATAGTGAATACAAATTTACTTCCAAGTAGTTTTTAGGGTTAGCCTTAGACTACTACTCTACAAATGTCCTGTAACTAGAGGTTTAAATAATTAATGGATGGTACCCTAATGTTTGCCAATAAAGAGTCAAAAATCTCGGCTAAATTAATTATTTAAATTCAAAAAATCTAATTATATATATATATATATATATATATATATATATATATATATATATATTTTGAAATTAAGTCTATAATATCTTAAGTTAGTGTTGTTAGTACAGTGGAATATTATGTCATATGCTCAACGATTGAAATTTAGATTCCTAAAAATAATTTAAGATTATGATATTAATCATAAAATAATATATAGTTAAAATAGTAATAGTAATGGCATGGACAAGACCAATTTAGAGGAAAAGACATGGAGAAGCAGAAGTCATCAATGACAATATAAGAGCATAAAATGAAAGATGCTACGGTTTATTTAGTTGTTTAATTGAATAAAAGTTGGGTATATGCGGCTAAGGAAAAAGAGGTTTCTGACCCTTTGTTTTAAGCTATCAAACCGTTGCATTTGCTTGATTCCCTCCTAAAATTTATTATTAATTATTTGTAACGTTATGCAAAATTAATTGTAGTTTGTATACATAACTTTGTGCAATTACAGTCATACCATACCTCATACTATATACCAAGCTAAGCTTGGTTTAGTGGAAAGGGTTGTACCTTGCAACCTTGAGATTGGGAATTCAATCCCCACCAGAGGCACTTTGGGGGTGGGGATTCCCTTACCATTCCCCCCACCCCCAAAGTGCCTAGCCCGCTAACCCGGTCGGGAGGACTTGTGAGAGGTTCCAGCTCGGTAGGGCCCTTCTCCGTACCAACTTTTTTTTTTAAAAAAAAAAAAAAAAAAAAAAAACACCTCATACTATATTATGTTGCAAGAGATTTTTTTTTTTTAAATATAATGATCACATTACTATACATCTCTTGAAAGTGACTACCTTTTCACATTGGATTAGGTTTACTTGAATACATGAGGTATTATAGGCGGATTATATAATTCACATTCATATCATATCATATCATATCATATCATATCACTAATATATAAAGTCGGTCTCGCAGCAACACCACGAGACAACGATACTTGCCATTTTAATTTTTCGCCAAGTGTTGAGCCACATAGGAGATAGATAAATAGTTATTATTGTGACACGTATGATGCTAAGTAAGCGATTTTTTTAAGATAAAATTGTTGTATAGAGTTTTATTATCGATAGAATTCTAATATTTCATATATACAAAATTAATCATAACTTTTAATAAATTTTCTATAACTCAATTCTATTTCCATCATCAAAATCGTTTTAAAAAGTTCTTTAAAATAAGATCCATTTATAATATATTTAATCACAAACATTTATATGTAGCTGGCCAAACCGTATCACCAACTATTACAAGAGTTATTTCGTTAGTGCTATAGGGGTTACTTGGTCAGTGTTATAGTGGTTACTCAATCAATGTTATAGCTAGATAGGGGTTACTTAGTCAGTGTTAGAGGTTACTCAATTAGTATTACAGAGGTTACTCGGTCAATTTTATAGAGGTGTTATCTAATTTAATTAAAAAAATATTAGAGAATCGGTAAAAATAAGTTTTAATCAGTAAAAAAAAAATAGTTTGGTAAAAAATACTTTCAGTTCAGTGAAAATAATTTAAGTTCAATAAAAATAATTTCAAGTCAATAATAATATAGATATCTATTCACAAACAAGACTACAAAAATTACACCATTATATAAATATAAGGCATATGATATTGTATATTAAATATCCTACACTATCAGAACGAATTATTTGGCTATATTTAACATTCAAGTAAAAATGTAATCTTAAAATTTTATCAACCATTCGGGCAACGCTCGAGCACAAAACTAGTATCATATATACAAAGTATGTAACAGTACAAACAAAATTGTATTCACTTGATCAATAATATAAGGAGAAAACACGTAGATTTTCATAAAACTTCTACATGGGATGTCTCCAATTATGTGCCATAATATCAAACTTCTTTCATATTCTCCATAAATAAGAGTCTAATTACATTTTACTACAGTAAAAATTTATATTATCCATATTCTAAGTGGCCTGGTATACAGAAAATGATAAATTACGCACAATAATAATAATAAAAAATAGATATATAATATAGAGAGCCACAATATACAGTGATGTAGACGAAAATTGATATAATGATCCTATTGTTTGATAACTTACAAACAAGGGCAACACGACAGCTAAAAAACTTAACCCACAAAATAAGTATGCATACAATAGTAAAGAGTGGAGTGTAACTCACTAAAACAACAAAAATCAGATTCTCTCTCATTCCCATGCATAATATGACGACGGCTAGAAACATATAACATATTTAATCAAACTTAGGATTTATTTAATGAAATTTGCCTTAGAAATACACACCCTTAACCCCCTATTCTCTAAACATGTTTTTACCTCGTGCTTGACCCAGTAATTTAGACATGGCTAATTACATCCTCCTTATTACATGTAGATGATGTAATTAATTCACTAATGTTTTAATTTGGGGTAAAAGGGGATGCCACTTCTTCGATTTTCTCTTTTTACTTCTTAATTTTTTATTTCCCATTGTCTGATTTTTTATTTGTTCCTTTAAGCTAGTTTTATGCAATGCATGGTACCTCTTAATTAATTTATGTAATGACCTCCGTTATTGGGAAGATCGATTCGTAATTAATTAAGAACAGAAGAAAAGGCCTACATAGAAGTAGTATTGCATCGCGGATAATAATAATAATAATAATAAGGTAATTTGAATTGAAATGTAAATAAAATAGACCATAGAGTACGTACGTAATCAGGGTTTAGTAGTTAAATACGGAGTTCTTTTTTAAAAGTTATATTTACAGTATATCGTATATATGAGCAATATAATACGTGCTAGTTTACAAGAGTGGTTTTTGATTTCATGCCCAAAAAATGTTATTTTAATTCTTATAATTCGGTATATGCTACATATAATGCAACATGAACGAGCTATTTAAGTACATATAATACGGCCCTCTACCTCTTTAATGAAGACCGATATAAATAGACAGTATATTGCATGAATCATACAAAAATACTACTTGTTATTTAATTTTTGATTACGCTGTTCAAACTGGTCACTACATTAACCATAATATACTATCATGGGAATTTAAAA